GTACACGCGGATATAAATTCTCCTGCGGTGAACCAATCGTATCTCATTCGAATCAGATTCGAACAAAAAACACAAATACACGTTCTACTGGCTACAATTGTTAGATTTGAATAATTTTAACAATGAAAACTGGTCACGTGCTTTTCAACTTTAAATAATACCGAAATAACTCGGAGCAATTTTTATTTATTAGCACCAAGAGTATAAAAAAAAACTTTTAGAGGTTGACTTTTCATAGAAATTATAAGAAACGTCATAGAGTGCGATGCCAGAGACATCTACTGTTCCTGGGGTTAACTATGTATTTCAATTCAAGAAACAGTTAATACATATGGCCCTGTTCATGTACTTTAATAGTTTTGAAAACGTATTTCGAGTAGAATTAATGAACTCGGATCACCCTTTAAAGTGCTCAGAATTAAGAATGAAATATTCTCTCTTCGTTATATCGTATCTGAAGCTTATATCGGTGGTAAAAAATATAATATTGCCTGTTCTGTTAATTTAAAAAACTATCATTACTTACTTACTTTCCCACTATTGTATTCGCATTGTCACTAAGTTTTTCAAACACTGATAGATGATCAGAAACAGAGGCGGTGTATAATTCGTGCCTGTTTATATAAAAAGTTGCCAATTTTCTCGATTTCTAGTCGAATTTTTCCATTTAAACAACTTTTTCGGTGTGGGGTATGGAGTTTTCATGGGTCTGTGTAAATTTAGCATCGCCCATCGCATAAGTCGCAGTTTTTTCTGTACGCATCGACCCCGTTGAATATAAAACTGCTAAACCGCCTGGCAAGGAGTAAATTGGAGCAATAAATATCTCGATTCGCATATGCAACGATTCGTTACAGAAACCCTTTTCCGTAATTGCCTTATACGCTTAAATTGGAAACCGGCAAGGGGAGTTTTTCAATATTTCGAAGTCGATATCGGTTGCAAATGGAAGGGGTTCTATTCTAGTACGTTGAATATTTGCATTGTCAGTAATTTTTTCCCAATTGTGTACAGTCTACAGTAATTGTGTTATTTATTCGTTGAAAAAATATTATTGCTAAGATTTTGCAGCGTCGGTTATTTTCTTATTTTTCTCCGGTACAGCTAAACGTATACTGTTATCCTTTTATCTAAAAATACAATCCTTACCCCTTCGTTGGAGAAGATTGACCGCCACGGGATTTCGAATTACACGCATTTGCATCCGTTTCGACGGGCAGACGGACAAACGGTGCTCCCCTGGGAGATTTATCTCTGGCTAGTCTCAGTTCGCTTGAGGTAGATACGTCCGGCTTAGCGCACGTCGCTATTCGGGCGATTCAGCCAGGACATGGTTATCCTTTGCGTCCTTTGGGAGAAATACCTTTTGCCTTGCCGGATCCGCATGAACAACAATTTTAAAATTTAATGTACTCACTTTTTGTTAGCGGTGAAATTGATTGATTTTTCGTATTTACGTGCACAGTTTTCATTTTAGTTGTTTACTAGAATAGTCTTTTTTCCCGAAGTAACGAAGACATTTTGAAACGTTTACTAAGAGGGCTTATTTTATAAGGTCTTAAACAAACGATATTTACGTACGGACATCCATCCTTGCTGGAACTTCGTCAACATCGTTTAGCCAGATAATTTTTCTTTGTTTTTATATGTTGGTACTAGCCTTTCCGGGATGCACTTACAGTTTTATTACAGCTTGAAAGGATGTGTAAGTTATTCACACGAATCCCGATAAAGCAGTTTGTTAATCAAGCTCTCGCTATCCATTACCTAAATCGCTTAGATCAAGTTGGCTGGTTCCTCAGCACATCTGCATAATGTCGGGATTAGTTTAAGGACATGCTGAGAGTTGATAAGGTGGTAGACGTAGAGCATCGCAAGTTCGTTCGAGAAAGTTAACGAGTTTGTTGATTTAGATACTTTGAAAAATATTTGAATTGGAGAGGTAGCTTATGGTACTAATAACATAAGTGCTAGTTTTTCTAGAGATTCGGATTTCGTAACTGGTTCAGTTGAAATTGAAAACAAAAAGAAAAATAGAATTCGGTATATCTGTAACTTTCTTTCGGATTTATTATACCACATATTTTGGAAAATAACAAACCCAGATAAATTAAATGCGCATCCTCGCTGGAAGACTTCTGGGTCCCGTTCCTGTCAGATCATTTATCTCCCGCACAATCCGTCAGCCAATAAAATAAATGTTGAGCGGCGGTCGCCTATTAAAAATGTTTCATTCATGTTTCCCTTCTGCAGCGGGGTCCCGACGGACGGGTCGATAACAGACGACGGTGCGGGCTCGACGGGGCCTATGTCTAGTCAGTAGTTGCGATTTACTACTGCCAGTAGTTCATATCGACACATATGCTTTGTTCGAGTGGAGATTGGAATCCATAAACATAAAATTCGGCTGGTGCTGATTTCGCTAGTGCGAAGCGACCGTTTTTTGGAGCTGCTTCGTATATGTTCACAACGGCGTTACGCGAAGAATCAAATACTGATCATTTAATACTTCTATAGCCGTTAAACCGCAATCAAACAGCATAAGAAAAAAATTACAGTAGTATTTGCCTATGGCAAATTACTAAATCAATCTCCGAAAGTAACCCCTTGTTAGTCATAAGCAATTATAGTGATATGTATAGAACGGTTACCCGATATTGACCCTGCCCTATTATGTCTCTTATATTTTGAGATAAGAAAAGTAGTTGTAATATTTTATACAAGGTTTACGAGAGAAATATCGTTCCTTAAAATGATGTGTGAACTCAATTCCCTAGAATTTTGGGATAGCAAATAATCAAATTATTTTAAGAATTTAGTAACCTAGGTTTAGGAAAATATACCTCATTAATAACAATCATATAATTATAATCTCATCAAAATCTTACATTTATCTCATATTTCAGTATAATAAATGACCTAAGTAATAAATTATATAATTATTATTAAATAAGGTTCGTGATCTGTGTTTACCTTTTTAATTATGAATTTTAGGAAAAACAACTATAAAAATTAATATTTCAGATTTTTCAACGTTTTTTAACATTGTCCCACCTCGTAAAAGAACGAGCGCAAAACCTTTCCAATATTAACTAACTTTCTCTCTTATTACTTCCCATCACCAGTCATATGGTGCCTTTCCTTCCACTTTCTCCAGCGTAAGCTTGATTTTCACGCCGGTTGCGTCCGACGTCTAGATAGCGCGACGCCCACCTCAGCGTCGAAACGCCACGAATCGTATCTAAGCTGGATCACGCACAGTCTGTTACACCAGCAAAACGTTTACAGGATTCTTCCTCTAAGCCTCATCCGCCCGGCATCAGCCACCTACCCTAGATCGAGTATTAGATAAGACACGGAAGCTGTCACTGATGCCGCTTTAGTCTAACCGTCTGATGGGCCATCTGGAAGGCGACTTCCGTTTATGGATCTTCAAATTTGCGCAAGTTAACAAAAGTGTCACCTGTATCGACTGAAATGTCACACATTTTAAATGAAGAATGCATGATTAAATATTATTTGTCCAACAGGCGAGTTTTGGAGATGTTTGACGAGTTTGTTTAATCAAAAGCATTAAACAATTAATTAGTATTTACGTTAACTTCTACTGCTGTTTATTACATGAACTATCAATGTAAAACTTTCTGAAAATAAAAGTTTAACCCTTTATTTAATTGTCTCTAAAATCCTGGCCCGATACGATCAAAGTTAATTAACAATTAACGTTATAAAAAAATCTATGTTGGAAACAAAGAAGCGTAGGTGATTTCTTTATTTTTTAAATTTACCGCAAAAATAAAGTCTATTTAAAACTGTTCTGTGTTCAACCTTTATTTTACAGTTAACAAGTGGGTGAAATAAGACTTTAGATACTTTAAATTGTAGGTAATTTAATCACGTACAACATAAAATGACTAATTTTCCGATAGATCGTCTAGATTTTCGTGGGCAATAAAAAAAGTGAAAAAAACACGTAAGTTTGCCACTTAAGTGCTCTTTGCCAACTTAACGTTAACTATTAATCACATATTTCACTAGTTTCTGTTTAAAAATTATACGATTTTCTAATATTAGCCGTCGTCAGAATATGAACGAATTCCACTCGAACATGCACTCTAAAATTAGAGAGACGTTTTAAAAACCCTACATTTTACCCAGTTGTGTGCAAATCCCATCAGCCCCAACGAAATCAATGAAGAAAATCCGTTTGTATATAAATAAAATCTGTCGGTATTCCACTAGCTTTTGTGGATATTGAATAAAATCCTCGCCCATTCGTTCAGAACAGAATTTTCTTTCTCGGATGCTATATTGAAAACGAACGAACAAGTCTGTTATTAAATTAAAGGAATGATTTTAGAGGGGAATTCGGAGACCAAATTGAAAACAGCTGTATGAAAATATGTGCAGTAATAGTACAGAAACAAGTGAAACTTTTTTTTAATACCGTGCCAAGAGCTTGACTATTGGAAAAGTAGAATAAAAAATTGAACAGTGTCAGTATTTTTTATCTTCAGGCATTTCCAAAGCCTCCTAAATTTTTAAACTGAAATGGAAACTTCATAAATTAGTATGATTAGAAAATTGATTCCAACATTAGTACAGAGCCACAAAAATTATGTAAAATTTTTATACCTGGTTAGAGGTTAAATTTTTAACCCAGAATTTATATTAAACTTACCTTTTTTATACAAATGATAATAATTTAACCTGACCTTAACAGCTTACCAGGTAAAAGGATTAGAATAATCCATTAAATTAAAACTAAAAAGTGATTACTGATTTATTATTCTCCAAATCCGGATTAAAAACCCCTTATAAAACATTTCGTTTACTTCAATAATTTAAATAATTTCTAACTTCCTTGGCTAGAAGACGGTAATAAAATTTGTGAGTTTGGCTTAGCAGTTTCTTATATCCATACATAAATGGTAAGTAAATCACTTAATACTTCAATAATACTTATCTATTGTAATTTTTTCCAGGCGATGTCTTTCGAAATGAAGAACCAGCTTATGCAATATTTCGAATGTCCGGTCTGTCTGACGTACATGCTACCCCCCATCTTCCAGTGCGTTGTCGGGCACACCGTATGCGCGAAATGCCACTTCCGCCTCGACAGATGTCCCTCCTGCAGGGGTCCGCTAGGAGGACGCGCCCTACTTGTCGAAATACTATCCTCCAAAATGGAGTTTCCTTGTCAGTACGCCTCTGACGGTTGCAAAATCAGCGGCAGGTCCTACTCCATAAAAACTCACGAGGCAGGTTGCCAGTTTTCACGAAGAACGTGTCCTCTCTTTAAACGGCGTTCCTGCAGATGGACGGGGCTGCTCAAGGATCTGGTGGAGCACTTCACTGAGAAACACCCCCAGCACATGTTTTTTGAACCGGAACCGAAACTGATGACTTTCGGCATGTGGCAGAGGAAACCCCGGAGGAATGTTTCGCTTTTCTTCGTGTACGACACCATATTCCTCTTCTGTTGGAAGTTTAATCAATACAGAGATCAGCTCAGATTTTCCTTGAGCTACTACGGCTCCCCAGGCACAGGGAAGATATTTTCGTACGCGATCTGCGTTTTGGACGGCGATAACGACAGAGAAGTTCTTAAAATGAGCGCACCCTGCTACAGCGTTATGGAAGATGATGTCGTGAGAAATCAGTTGTTCCTGAGCGTGCACGTTCAAGAAGTCAGCTCTTTCTTCTGCGCCGAAGGAAATCTGCGTTTTGTTCTTAAAATAAGAAACGATGATCTTATTTCGGAGTAAACATATTTTATATCAAATAATCTTGAATTTATTTCGCGACATTTATATTTAAGAAATCAATGTTTTATATACGCCGATGTTTCATAACTTTAAATAACCAAAACGAGTTAGGTGTATTGCTATTTCTCTATTTTGACGTCAGGAAAACGTTAAGTAACTGTAAACTTTTGTAGGTTTCTAAATAAAATTTTCGATTATACTTAAAAATGTGTTTTCTTCAAAGTTAAATATTCCTTCAGAAATAAATAATACACGTCATATATACCTAAACAACTAATAATATTAAAATATATGATTATATGGTGTTATTGTTATTTTTCTGCTAAACAAATACCACCTACCCACTGAGCCAAATCAATATGTGTAAACGTCCAAAAAAAATATTACCTGGAGTTACCACATACTTTTAGACCTAAGTAAGATGACAATTTGCAAAGGATAATAAAACTGAAAAAACTCCACACCTTTACAACAAAACGAAGAGGTAAAATTATAGTTATACCCAAAAAAAAAGAATGTGAGCATATTTGTTTAGAGGTGGGGATATTTTTTCTCTTTCTACAAATCCAGTTACTGTTCCTTTGCTTTTTCGAGTTATTTGGAAAAAATTAAAAAATTTTTGCCAAATTTGTAAATTTGGTTGAAGGTAGGTAATTTGCATATTTTGATTTCACGAATAAGTCGTTCTTTGAACACGGAATAGTGGCACACCCTGTATATTACAGTTCTACATAAAATATCGAATTAGTTTTTTCCTTAATTCTTTAGAATAGGTGTAAAATGAAAATAAAAAGAATAAACAAAATGACATCCAACATGAATCCAGTGGTGTGCATGTAAAATATCCCAAAAATTACGCCACTATTTTTTCGAAATGTGAATTTTATTTTGAAAGAAAATTATCTCGTAACTTTTGTTCTCAGTTTTCACTATTTTGGTACAAATCATAAATTCGTAAATATGATAAATTTAGATTTCAATGAGTTTGGAAGACAGGTTGACACTTTTCTAAACACTACAAAAAAAATTATAGGAGCAGACAAATTTCCAAATTTTTTTGGTAGTATTTGAAAAGTTGTAACTACGCGAATAATGGTCGTACCAAGAAAAAAAAAAGAAGCATCTTGAAGCTTGAATATTCTAATTTTGAAATCTTGAGATAAAAATTTTTTGAGCATCAAAACAAATAATGCAAGGCAAAAATTTGACAACTTTTTTTTTCAATATTGCACAGATAATTTTTTTCTGGCTTAATCAATGCCAGGATCATTTAGCCTGATTCCTCAGCTTCAATTAGTTTTTTTAATTTATTTTCTGTACTTAACGATTATTTCTCGTTGATATATTGGCTACTGAGTGAAAAATCACCTTTTTCTTTAATCATCGATATCTTTTTTATAAAAAATTACTTTTTCTGTTGTTTTGGAAAATCAACGACTACTTTGCAAATATTGCGAAAAGTACCAATGCTTTAGTTCAGCAGGTTAGTCTCAACATTTTTTTTTATATCGCCACAGAAAAAGTTTGTCGATGACAATTTAGGAAGAACTCGTGGTTTCAATCGAAATAACAATTTTATTTAATATACAGTAGTATGATGAATGAAAAAGCTACGTAATAAAATCTACAAGGGACAGTCGTCACGAGCGAGAAGCGGAGTTTATCAAAGCGCACAGAAATACAAATAGGGACGGCGATAATTTATCCCCCTCGACAGACAAGTTCAAAACGGAATGGAAAATGGAAAGGCCACATAAAGACTGAAAACATGTAGGGCTGACATCCGCGATATCTCAGCCGGCCAGACATATTGCGGCCTTATGATATTTCATTAAAGAGACTTCTTCTCTTGATACATTCCGCTACTGAAAAATACGCGTACAAATTGCATTGCGACGAAGTCCACTATTCTTTTTCATTTTGCGACAGCCGTTGTACTTATTTCTCATTTCGCGCGTCCCTTTCGGTCCCAGCGAAACTATATCCAGCTCAGGAGGTAGTGATTCAATTCGTCTTTGTTGCAAGAAACTCTTGTGTCAGCTAAGAACTTGCGGAAACCCAGGAAAAACTAATTTAAACACAGGATGATCTGTCAAGTCAAATATTTTACTCATGATGGGGTCATTTCCGTAACTGTACCCATTAAATGTATATATTTGGACGCAACGACAAGTTTTATTTCCAAGATTATTCAACTGAAATATTTGGAGTACTACAGGGTTCACTTATTGGTCCCCTATTATTCATTCATGATGTTTGCGGCAACTGTTCACCTCTGTTACATCTGTTGAAGCAGGCTATATTGTAGGTACTTCAAAAAGATCTATCGACAGTGAATTATTGTTTAAAAGTAATAAACTGCCTAGAACATATCAAAATATTGTGTTATGTCCTGGTTGCAAAGCTCGCCTATTGCTGTTTTTTCTTAATAAATAAATAAATAAATATATGGTTGAAATTGTAGATATTTATCGGCTTGCAAAGATTTGAAAATTGTGGTTGTACCATTACAACAATGACGACTTCATCAAAATATTTGCGTTTAACATTGAGATAAGACCGGTGATATTCATTATAAAAAGGAATGAATGTCGCGAAAATATTCGCCACGATGATATCTCCGTGAAAAATGTGACAGTTTTACTTCAGCAACGGCCATTCGTTTCAATTGAAAAATATATCAGTCCCTAAATAACGTTTATCTGAAGGTGCGAAACAAAACATTCCCGTGTTTCGCAGTTATAAATCTCAGATAAAAGTGACAGTAAGTTGCATATTACGGAATGAGTTTTCTTTGGGAGCGGAGTGGAACTATAGAAATGAAAAATGTGCGCTGGAAATAAAAGCTTCTTACTGGAGTGCTGCAAAAAGCTCTTAAATTTTTTACAGGGGAGTGTTTCATAACAAATGCGTCCATAAAAGTTTGAGGTGGTATATTTTATTCCTCAGGATTATGTTGATGATAACATTCCAACAAAATTATAACGGAGTACAGCCTTAAATGTTTTTTATTTCTTAAGAAATTATTTTGTATTTTGCTAATATATACAGAGGTGTCATACAATAGCACGCGAGAATGCAATCATGTCAATCATGCAATTCATTGTCAAAAATTATAAATTGGTTAATTTAATTGGGATTTTTAATATCCTTACTTTAATTTTCAAATGAAAAAATGGGGAAATAAGTTATATCTGTGAAATAAAATTAAATTAAGCAGTTTTATTTCACATATTTATTTATTTATTTCAACGTGCAAAGCCCAAGTACAGTAAAGAAAAATTAGTAAATCATAATTTAAGAATAAGGATGAAAAAGGAACATCAAGCCACAACAAAAGACATTTAAAATCGTTAACAATTAAAAATGAGCATAAGAGAAAAATTGAGCAACATTGTGAACAAATTTAGGTAACAGAAAAAATATGCACAAGTATAATAATAATCATAGTAATAAAAAAATAATGAGACGCACAAGAAGTAAATTTAACTCAAAAACTAGCAATCTAGCCACAGCTACTGAATTCTTCTTGGTATCTTCGAATTCTTCGCTATATTTCCGCGACGTGGTCTACTGCCGGAAGAAAACCCACAAGACATCTCGTGGTCTTTCACGGTCAATCCTTTCGCACTGAACTTGCAACCGTTGAAGTTATACCTACAGGGAACCGTCAATTTCAGATATATCCTCTCCAGTATAAAATCGCAGCCAACTCCTTTTGATCCTCTGCAGATGGGGCACCTCTGAAAGCGGTCAAAGCACTCGGAACAGAAGGTGTGGCCCCTGACACATTGTCGGATAGGCGGATACATGTGGACCGAACACACGGGGCACTCGAACAGATCGAGAATTCTACGTTCTAACTGCGAAGACATGATTGGAAACAGCACCCCACTGCACGAATCACGAGAGATGTACGTTCTTTAGAATTCGTAAGTGACGGAAGCAAGGACAAGCTCTATTTAATCTGTTTAACAAATTGAAATTTATAGTCAACGCATACACTTCTCTAATTGAGAATTTATTACCTGCTTATAGTAATTAGAGATTATTAGGCTAATCCTTATGCCGATTAAATAAATAATTAAGGATATTAAGCAACAGGTAGATAATGATAAGGTAATAAAGTGCCATTTTCAAAGAAGTATTATAAAAGTAGGTAGCATAGTTTCCTCTAGGTAAAATTTTGTATACAGTTTTATAGAAAAATAAATTAAAGGACTAGGCACATCCTTGCGTAATTATTATAATTATTATATTATTTAATACTTTAACAGTACAAGTCTCAAACTAAAACTGTTGGATTTAGATACACATGTATATTCTGTAACATGTAAAACGGAAAATATAGCATCGACTTGTCGACTTACCGACCCCTCTGTGTGTTCGCGGTAAAATATTACAGAGCGCTAATAAAAAAACCGCACTATTTGTAACGTAAAACGGTCCTTTATACGGCCTATCTCTCCACTGTATAAAACGTAATACACAGCGGTAATACCTTGATGAAATATACCCGACAGTTATCATTTTTAAATTGCATTTCTGCAAGGCAAAATGAAATACTTCATCCCCGTTTCGCGTACAATCTAAATTCAGCAATAAATTACAAAAGTCTTCCTCGAAAATAATACTTGTTATGCAGAATAGTTTTAGCGGCGTTATCTATGTAAGAAATTGCTGCTGGCCCAGTATGTTTAAACTGTAACATGATTCTATGTACCACAGGAAAAAAGTAAAACTGTTACGATTTTCCGAAAAAAAGCTTAGCAATTTACAAGAAACAGGAGACAGTATAAATATTAATCCCTTCGTGATGTTTGCGAACATCAGAATCCAAGAAAATCTATGTAAAATATTTGCCAACACTTCCCAGGGATTATTTTAATTTAAAAACACGGTGGTATGACATTTCCTTAATATATTCTGATGCATGTTTTACGTCTGATCCCGCCGGAAAACCCTTGTTCTTTATTTATTTGCAACAATTTATGTGCATGACTAACAATGCACCGTCTCCCGGAATTCTTGCTTTTCTCGGATGCCTTTTGCCGTCTCGGACGACGCTATTAGGTTAATCCCGCTGAAATCCTTCTGGATCCCTGGATTGTTCCCACAACCTCTATTCCAGCTCTGTGTGCTCGTTAGGTCCAGCAATCTCCCCCAGCTCTCGGGGTACGCTGATAGGTAAATAAAATAAAACCTGAATTATGCCACCACCAATGTTGGGTACTTCCTGACTACGGTGTTAAAATTCTCATGCGGCCGTAATATTTAAATTTTGATAGCCTTTTAATATATGTTCATAGGAATTTATTTTTCTATCAGCGTTTCAAACTTTTTTAGGTGGCTTCTCAAAGGCTTTCACGTAGATATTAACCAAGTTTAGGGATAAAGGCGAGCCCACAGTTATGGAATTTAAAGAAATTGACAAATATGTCAACACTGACGTCATGTCAATGATGGTTGGTAATTTTTCTGCCTACTATATAGTCAAAGTTTTTTAATTAAATTTTCCTTGAAGTGAATACATTATTTCAATGTTACACTAATGATTAACGTTATTAACATAAATAAGATAGAAATGGGCCTCAAGACAGAACCCTGAGGTACATCGTTTCACAGGAACAGTAAATTGGATTTTTCAAATAATATCAAGAGTTTGGTACTGACTAAATAAAAATATTTATCGTGCTGCGAATGAATGAAGCTGCCAATTTCGGATTCACTTGGATATCTTGAAATTTATAAAAGAATAAAATGAAGAAGTTATTAGGAAACGCCAAAAAAATCCCCAACACTTCATAATCATTTCTTTATTACTAACACTTTCTTCTCCTTATTAGTTATTTTAAAGGTAATAATATAATTAATATTTATTATGTAATAAAAAAGGAATATTGAGTATAAACAAATACGAATAGAACAAACAGAACAATTTGTAAAATTTTATATTCAATTCTTACTTTCAAAAATCTTTTTACTAAGAATAAAGTAGATAATTTCAGAAGAACATCATTTAAAAAAATACGAAAAACTAATTTTTTAACATTAATTTAAATTATCTTTAATGAAACGTAAAAGAAAACAATACCTATCTATTAGTATAAAGAACGTGAAAAATCAAATATGTCAAAATAATAAAACCGCACCTATTTATTGTATTCATTTGAGAGCTGAAAGTTTTAATGCTGCATAAATATTTGGCGAGAAAATATCATCAAGCGGTATTCGCGGAAAGTGGGAATATAAGTTTTGAAAATCCAAGGACAAATTGTATGTTCCATTTCAACAACATATCAAGAAAAATAGTCAAATCTAATAAGACTCAAGTGTGTATCTACAATTTGAGTTCAGTATAAGATTTCCCAGGAGACGAAAGAGCACGACGATTTGTTTGCCGAGTCAATACCGTCGATAGTTGTTAACTTCTCGAGAATGAATCGATGTTTTGTGCTTTTGTACAGTACTTTAGTATGTCTATATTTAGTAAAGCAGACATACAACGAAATAATAAACTTATTTCACTTATTATTTTAATAAGACCGGCACTGAATTAAATTTTTTGTTCTTCGTTCACCTATTACTTTCTCCCCTCTGTTTTTGCGAGCTAAGACTATCGGAAAATAACGCTGTATATTGAACTTAAAAAAAAACTATAGCTCCTCGAAGGAATTCCCTCGATTTTAACACATTCCTGATTGGATCCCGAGTTAAAAATAGAACCTGTGAGTTTGAAGTTGAAGTTGAAAGTTTGAGTGTGAGATGACTGCGCTCGGTTGGTTTACTTCAAGACACAAAGCAATATAAGAAGCGGTCCTCTCGAGATGCTGTAAGAAATTTCAGAGTAATTCTCAGAAACGCTTCTAACTGGGAAGTTTCAGGTTCGAAATGCCCGTAACTTTTATAGATACGAATTAGGAAAAAGTATTTAATCTACGAAATTACAAATTATTACGGTACTGGATAAATATTTCATTTTATAGTCGTGCTATGAATGATAATATTGTTGTAAATCATTCTGATTGTGAGTCACGTTTCATGCAACATAAACAGTTAGTCCTGATTAATTTTGGAAGCCAAATTTGAATCTTTTTACTTACGTAGGACACTTTGTATAATTGACGTGGTAACTGCCCAAAGACAGAATAACTAATTAAAGACGCTTTTGCATTAAACGGTTATCATTTAAAAAGTAAATATCCATTAAGATAACCCGTTTTATACCGATAGCATTGTACGCCACCATGTGAGGGCAATATGTGGAAGCTTTTATTTTAATGGCATAGACTAAACGTGGCATATATCAGACTGATTATTATTGTTATTGTTATTATTATTGCTGGCCAGTTCTGCCGCAAGAGCAACGGCTATGGTTTTTAAACATTTTAGTTATCGCTGTTAATCTGTCCGCCACCCTACTCAACGATCATTTAACCGGTATCGTGGCAGAACTTTAACGTCATTTTAAATGGTAAAAAAATACGTTAAAAGCTTTCTTTGTTTTACAAGTTAAGCCCAGCTTCACACTCACAAAAATGTTATGTAAAATTACACACTAGATCTGTGCTATGTCTATGCTATATTATTACGCTACAAATGAATATAAACATGCCTACTGAACAACTAGCACAGTTCTCTAATTAATTAATCCGATTGTTCGAGCCAAATCAGGACTAAACAAAAATAAAATTTACATTTTCTGGAATGAAATTAACTGCACTGAAATGCAATTGACGTTTCCTAAAACACATCTGGAAGAAACTTAAGGATATGGCGTGTCCAATCTATTGCACAAGTCCAGCTGAGTAAGTTCAAGTGAATGATTATTTTTGTTGTTAAAACATCAAAAGGTCGTCGTCGTCGTAATAAATTTCGATTAAGACGCCAAACCGCCGCCGCTTCCGTGCCCGCTAGGTGGCTTTCAGCGTATGAGTTTTTCATTTTTCCTACACGTCTCCAGAGGATTAACTCCTAGGATTCCTAGAGTAATGGAATCACTGTAGTGAGCTGTCTCGGCCCCGGGCTATCCGTCTAGTCGGCAGATTTCAATGCTAGAAGACGTGGGAGGTAGCGTCAGCCTTCCCACTGGGGCACTGCATATAGAAGGATGTCTCAAATTGGCCGTTCAATGAAAGTTAGCTCAGGTGCTTCGCCGGAAACGTGGAAGCGCGGATTGAGTCACTCTTTGGTGGGTTTTGACTGGAAATTAAAACTGAAATTTCACGCTTTTTTATGCGTTATCAAGCAGGTAGATGTTACAACCAGCTAGGGCAAGAATATCCTTTCTATGTTTCCTAATAAGATTGCACAGTTTTTGAAACTAGAACATCCTGAAACATATACAGGCCATTCATTCCGAAGAACATCGGCAACGTTACTGGCTAATACAGGAGCTGATGTATTAGCAAGAGCTAATAATTATTATTATTGGTCAATTATTTAGTTTAAGGATTACAACAATTATTGTCAATTGTAATAAAACCCATAACCTGATGAATCTGTTAATATATTGAAATTTTGTTAATTTAAATAGATCTTTAATTTAAAGAATTTAGAGTAGAATCTCAACACAGTCAAATTTAAATCAAAATATAAAAAAATAAAACAAAACAAAGGAATCCACACTCTGGGAAAGTCTCATAATCAAATAACAACTACATAGAAAAAGTATAAAGGAGCCCAAAACAACAAAAAAACATAATAAATAATAATATCCACACACACTGAGAGAGAGTCTCACATAATAATAAATAAACAATTCCGTGTCAGGTTACTAGGTTGCCGAAATCCTACACAAGTACCCACTTTGAAGTTTTTTAAATTTCTTACTTTATAATCAGTGTAATAACTTCGGAATTAGTGTACATTTTGA